TACAGTTGAACTTTGTTTTTTATTCAGTATGACTGTTACTTTCTGTTAATCAGTCATTTTAGTCCATTTAGTTAAATGGAAATCATATAAAATAATTTATCATTCATTTTGATTTTTAAAAAGAGCCTACTATCTTTGTTGTATATTTCTTTTCTCCTTATTTGGATTAAGAAATTTCCTTTCTTGTTCCACCATCTATAGTTGAAAAGATTATAGTAAACATTTTATCTTATTATAGTCTACCTTTAAACATTTTATCTTATTACAGTCTACCTTCCATAAAATAAAAACTATGCAATGTATACTACCATTTCTTGATTCTTGGCCTTTGTGATATTGTATATTTTAATCTTACATGCAGTAAATCCTACAATACATAGTTTTAATCTCTATTTAAAAAGCCTATTAGCATTTAAAATATTTAAATAATATGGAAAGGTATTTATTTACTCAAAGAGTTACCATTACCATTTCCAGTGTTATTTATTCCTTTGTAGGTATCTAAGTTTCTTTCTGAATTATCTTTCTTTGATGGCCTTTTCTTTTCTTTTCTTTTCTTTTGCCTGTTGGGGGGCCTGAACTCTGGGCCTGGGCGCTGTCCCTCAGCATTTCAGCTCAAGGCTAGCGCTCTACCACTTGAACAACAGCACCACTTCCAGCTTTTTTTGCTTATGTCATCCAAGGAACCCAGGGCCTCATGCATGCAAAGCAAGCACTCTACCACTGAGCCACCTTCCCAAACCCTGATGGCTTTTTCTTCACATTACCTATAGTACAGGTATGCTAGTTATGAATATCTTCAGTTTTTTTATATTTAAAAACTATTTTCTCTTATTTTTTGAATGATATTTTCTCTTTGCATGATATTCTGTTATTTTCTTCCAACATTTTAAAGATAATTCTTTATTATTTTATGACTTACAGTAGTTGTAAGTCATAAATCTGCTATAATTATTTTTTGTCTTCTGTAGGTAATACATAAGACATTCTCCTCCAGATACCTTGAAGATATTCTGTTATCACTGGTTTTAATCAATTTGAGTATTACCTTAATTAGGTGTATTTTTTAATGTTTACAGTGCTTGAGGTTTGTTGAGTTGCTTGGATCTGTGAATTTAGTTTTCACCAAATTTGAAAGAATTAGCCATATTTCTTCAAAATTGGTTATTCCTTCTTGTTTGTTTTATGTATTGTAATTACATATACATCATGTGGTTGAAGTTATCTAATAGCTACTGATGCTCTGTTTTCATTTTGTTTTTTCTTTGTTTTGGTCAGTCATGGTACCTGAGCTCTGGGCTGGGTGCTGTCCCTGAGCTCTTCAACTCAAAGCTAGTGGTCTACCACTTGAGCCACAACACCACTTCTGGGTTTTTTTCTGCTTATATGGTGCTGAGGAATCAAACCCAGGACCTCAAGCATGTAAGGCAAGCACTCTACCACTGAGCCAAGTTACTAGCCCTGTTTTGTCTTTTTTCTTTCTGTTTCATTTTGGAGAGTTGCTATTGCTTTATTTTCAGGTTTATTGAATTATTCTTGAATTGTTGTTAACCTGATCCAGTGTATTTTTTTCATTTCAAAACTTGTAGTTTTAATCTGTAGAAATTTTATTTGATATAGATCTCCTAAATATTTCTACTCAATATTTCCAATACATTTCTATGGATATATTGAATATCTGGACTATAGGTGTCTATAATCTATAATATTGATACTTTCTCTTCACCAGCTAATTTTTCCTCTTGTTTTCGTATGCCAGTTAGCTCTTGATTCATTGGCAGTCACTATAAATTTTATCTTGTTGTATACTAGTACTTGAATTCCTTGTATTCTTGGGCTTTGTCCTCATATACATTTAAGTTGGTTTGCAACCGTACGATACTTTCAGGCCTTGCTTTTATGCTTTTTGGATAAGTGAAGAGCAGCATTTAGCCTACTTTTGCTCTATTGTTGAAACAAAACTCTTCTTAGTATTCTAGCAAATTTACTGTGAATGATGATTTTTCCTGACAGAAAGGAATGGGGACCATTACTAGCCCTGTAGAATCTCCATACCCTGTTCCCTCTAATCCTTTCAGGTAGTTGCATCTGCTAAAGACATGAGAGAATCTCTGCATGTCTCTGGAATCCCTTTTCTTTTCTGTCCCTCTGTCTGGTAGGAATGTTAGCCACTGGGGATTTCCTAAATACCATGCCAAACGTAGCAGTTAGCTTGAAAAAATGGATCTAGGTATCTAGAGAAGTCTTATCAGATAAAAATGAAGGTTAAAGGTTATCTTGATGAGTCTTATGAAGGTTAAAGAATTTTATAGAAATACAATAATTCTCAGATCCACATTTATGAGAACATGAGAAAGTCACAACAAATGTATATGGCAATGAAGATTTGATACCTTACCATTCCAAATGATTATTTATATACACACATATGCACATGTACACTAATTTACCAAATATCTGAATGAAACTAATTTATTAATCAAAATCACATATTCCTTCATTCCTAAGTATCTATCAAATACCATATATATGTATATATATATATATATATATATATATATATATACACACACACACACAAGCTTTGGAGATATAGCCATGGAAGCCCTTATGCACAAGCAGATAATGAAAGAGGGACAAAGACATGTGATGAGCAAGTAAACAAACCACTTTAAAATATTTTATTTTCTACAAAGGCAGCCTCCTGCATTGGTGAATACTTGTCAACTCTTAAACAAGCCATTTCTACTCTCCATCTAACCAACTAAAAAAGCAAGAAACATTGGCATGTGCGCCTACTGTATTGTTAACATTAGTCTATGCTCTATTCCAACCTCTTCCTTCCTTGCTGCTTAATTTTATCATTCCTAATAATCTATCTATTCAGCAGACAAATGAAAGGACAGAGAAGACGTTTCTCTGCATTTTCTGTCTACCTCTATGTATTAGCTTAAGCACTTTACAATCTGGTTTTCCAAAACTGAAAGTTTCCTTTTCCAAGGTTGTACCCATGGCTCTGCTGGTAGCACTCTAGCCAATGAGATAAAATGTTACGCACTAAGTTCAAGTTACAGTCTTAGGCCAAAAAAAGGAAGAAAGAAAGAAGGAAAGAAAGGAAGAAAGAAAGAAAGAAAGGAAGGAAGGAAGGAAGGAGGGAGGGAGGGAGGCAGGGAGGGAGGGAGGGAGGGAGGGAAGGAGGGAAGGAGGGAAGGAAAGAGGGAAGGAAGGAAGGAGGGAAGGAAGGAGGGAAGGAGGGAAGGAAGGAGGAAGAAAGGAAGAAAAGATGCAGTCCTTTGCTGGGCATTAGTATCTCACATCTGTAATCCTAGCTACTCAGGAGGCTGAATGCTGAGGATTATGGTTTGAAGTCAGCCTAGACAGGAAAGTCTGTGATATTCTTATCTCCATTTAACTACCAAAGAGCAAGAAATGGCATTGGGTTTCAAAGTGGTAGAACACTAACCTTGACCCCAGGGACAGTGCCCAGGCCCCGAGTTCAAGCCCCATGACTGGCAAACACACACAAAATTTCCTTTTCAATAGAAAGATGATAATGTCTACATCTTGTTTTCAGAGACTCAGTGCAACAACCTTGGGTCTCTCAAATAAATCTTGAAAGAAAATCAACTTTTTCTCCTTCACACAAGTCTGAATTTTCCAAAGTATTAGGACTATTCCTACAACTGTTTTTTTCCCCCTAAATTCTAAGACTCTTACTGTACTTAGAAGCTTAAAAGTATAGGAAAAAATAATAACCACTTCTCACTCTCTGAACATTCAAAGCCAGATGAAGAGCTTCACAACAAACAGGTCATTTAGAAAAAGATATCCAGTTATGTAGACACTGAAGACTGGTAATAACTTTAAAGTCTTCTTAAGAAATTTAACCATTTCAAGCCGGGCGCTGGTGGCTCACGCCTGTAATCCTAGCTACTCAGGAGGCTGAGATCTGAGGATCTCGGTTCAAAGCCAGCCCGGGCAGGAGAGACCGTGAAACTCCTATCTCCAATAAACCACCACAAAACCGGAAGTGGCGCTGTAGCTCAAGTGGTAGAGCGCTCGCCTTGAGCTGAAGAGCTGAGGGACAGCGCCCAGGCCCAGAGTTCAAGCCCCACGACCGACCAAAAAAAAAGAAAAAAAAAAGAAATTTAACCATTTCAGCTCCGAACAATTCAATAGAACCATTGAGAAAATCACTCCTTAGACACAACATGGTTAGAGATATAAAAGAACAAGAAAGCTTACTGTGTCATTCTATTTTAAGTCCTCAGTGTATATGTGTTTCATTTATGTAAGTTAAATATGAACCCTGACCCCTCGACTAACACTGACATTAAGATCATTTGGGGAAAGCAGTTCTTATAGCTTTAAGAACAAACAAGTATTCTTTATTGCAATCAACATTTTCTAGTCTTATACTTGTCTTTTATTGAGCAACTATTTGAATCTCTACCCAATCTGAAAAACCCTAAAAAGGAATCAGAGGACCCACTGTTGCAGCACTCAATAAGACTATAAGAAGAAACGTGCTGTTTTCAGTAATCTATCAGAAGTTGCTTCATGCAGGAAGATTTGTATACAAGTAGTTGATGTTTGTTCATGTCATGTAAGGAAACAATATATACTATTCATTGCATTATCTATAAAGTGAATACATTTTTTTCTTTCACTTTAAGAGTTTCAGGCTATTTCCTGGAAGAAACATTCAAGAGGTATTTCATAATTAATAAATACTGTTGGTGCAAAAAAATGACTGAAAGAATTCATAGTTTTGATGATAAAGTTAAGCAAAATCTCGAAGTAATTTTGGTTAAAAGACAACATGACACGCCAAGATGCATCTTAGTAAGGTTAATAACTTCATGCTACGGCAAATAGTTTTATTTAATGGCTACCTAACCTATTATTTAGCAAAGCCATTTGTAAGATGAGCACATATTACAAATATTATTTTTGTCTGAAAAGAAATGAGACTACTACGCTATAAAAATAACACTCACAGATTCCTTTCCCATCTTCTTTTGCAGTCGTGTTTGCCACTGGACAGCTTGCATGACAATGGCTTCCCACCTTCTTTCGAGATTTACAATGATCAGCTGCATGGGCTGGTGGTCTGCATTTAGATTACAGGTGTCCCGGTCATCCAAAAGATGCTGGCACAATCGCAGAATGGAAGCTACTCCTCGACGTCGCTGCTTGATTTCACGACAGAGGGACTGTAACACAGAAAGACCAATTTATGAGTTTTTAATAGGGCAGAGTTTTTGAAAACACGAAATACTCTCTTTCACCATAACAAAATTGAGATGATGGACTCCGTTTCAAACAATAGGACGAGGAAAAGGGTTATGAAGTCTCCATCAACCAAGAGGCATATATACAGCCAACTAGTGCTAGCAAATTTAGCTCTTTTCCTCTTTCTCCCCATTTTTTTGTGCTGATCCTGGGGCTTGTATTCATTGCCTGGGTGCTGTTCCTAACTTTTTGTTTTTTACTCAAGACTAATGCTTTACCACTTGAGCTACAGCTCCATTTCTGGCTATTTGGTGGTTCATTGGTGATAATAAGCTCACAGGTCTTTACTGCCTGGCTGGCTTCAAACTAAGACAATCAGATCTCAACCTTCTGAGCAGCTAGAAGCCACTAGCAACTGGCTTTGTCTTCCCTTTTTTAACTGACATTTTTCTGTGACATGTAGTGTTCCATCTTGACATATATATATATATATATATATATATATATACATACATACATACATATATATAATTAACAGTTTCTAATCTAATAAAATAAACCATTTAAGTCATATGAATGCCAAATAAACAGACTGGCATGCTTTAGTTCAAGGGCAAAGGAAACACAAAAGATGGAATGATCCTCTAAAAGAAAATGGAAATGTTTTAAATGCATCCCTAGATTCTTTGGAGGCAAAAAGTTCACTACTCTATTGGCTGAGAATAAATAAGCTTGCAACGAATCTTTATATATAAAATCTATTATCTGAAAAAAGATAAGCAATATTTCTTTTCCAAAGCTTGATTAACAAAGCAATAATGCTCTGGAAACAGAAATTAAGATACTGGATTATTACTACACTATTTGTTGGTTGCTGTGTTTCTCCTAATAGACATCCACACTATTTAAGAAGGATATGCATGCATCAAAATAACATTTTGCCCCCAGAAGCATTTGTATTGCTGCAGTGACCCTAAGCTGAACAATTCAAGCAAAATAGTGGGTACACATGTCTAAAAATATTATATCCTTTCTTTGCCTACGGATAGTGTGTAAGTGATATTCTAATTTAAAGCCTTCAGGAGAAATGATGATTATATCCACAAACATCACTGAATTACTAATCTCCTTCTATTGCCACAATTGGACTGTTCTAACAGTTAACAGATTGCTTATTAATCAACAAGGGTAAACAAGACAATGCAATTTCATTTAGTGTGAGAGTTTTAATGCCTGAAAGTATTTGTGCTTAAAATGTAAATCTAGATAAGGCTTCATTAGTAGGAGTCTTAAAATGATTAAGTGCAGCTCATTGAAATATGCATGGAGTGGGGTAGTAGATCAGCAGGTGGACATTTCATACAGATGTTCCACTTATTGATATAATGCATGCTATGGCCATTTAAATGACCCTAACTCAGTAATAGCTGGAATTCTATTATTTCTGTAATGAGAGAACCCTGTACCTTTAATATTTCTGAATTTTAAATAAGGTGAATGACAAACTCCTAAACCTCTATTTATGGCAAAATATGACTAGAAATTTTATTATTCAATCTTTACCAATGCAGTAGTTTCAGTTATGTTTCCAGAACATATCCTTATTTATTTTCCCCATGTTCATTGCTATTTTCCTATATAACTCCTTGAATAGCCACCAGGTCTGACAAATTTCTTTACAGATACCATTTGGTAGTTCAGTGCTGAATGAGAAGAGACTCCTAGATATTTAAAGATAAATTTGAGGGCCTACTAAAGTAACTAGCTCTGTTCCCAGCTCCATTGTTCAAATGAGCCCTACAAATGTGCATAATGAAGACTTGGGCTCTTGTTTTGTTATTAATTTGTTAAAAGTAGCAGGTTAAGCCAGGTGCCCATCTCTCATGCCTATAGTCCTAGCTACTCAGGAGGCCGAGGATGACAGTTCAAATTCAGGCAGGAAATTAAAGTCTGTGAGACTTGTCTCCAATTAACCACCACAAAGCTGGAAGTGGAACTATGGCTCAAGTTGCAGAGTGCCATCCCTGAGCAAAAAAGCTAAGGGACACCACTCAGGCCCTAAATTCAAGCCTCAGGATTGGTGCGTGTGGGCATGTGCACGCACACGTGCACACACACACACACACACACACACACACAGAGCTAGAAAAAGAATATTTGTTTTGTGTCATGGAACTGGATTTTGCAAACCTCTCTTTGAAGTTAACTGAAATACCTGCATTTTTCAAGCCAAAGATGTCAAAGTTTTTAGCTGAAGGAAAACCACAATGGATTGAACTAAGTGTGCACTAAATAACCAGATGATTCCTACCCTCTACCTTAATGAAAATGAACCAAGAAGAATGTGTTTAAAAAAATATAAAAGCAGCAGGAGCCACAGTGGCTCAAGCCTCTCATCCTTGCGACTTGGATAGTGGAGATTGAGGGGTCATGGTTTGATGCTAACTCTAGGCACAAAGGATTTCTAGAGAGTCTATCTCAACCAGATGGTATGTACCTGGTATCCCAGGTAACAGGAAAAGATCAGTGGCTGGCATAGTGGCATGTATAGTGGCATGTGTGCCTCACATCTACTCCCAGGGAAACCCAAAGAGGAAGATCACAGCCTAGGTTGGTCTAGCCACAAAGTGAAAGTCTACCTGGAAAATAACCAACGCAAATAACGGCTACAGGGTGGCACAAGTGCAGAGCACCCACCTAGCAAGTGTGAGACTCGCAGTTCAATCTCCAGTCCTGGGGGAGGTGGGAAGCATTTACTGTTAACATTCAATATCTGATTTGGGGGGTCTTGAAATGCTCCATTTTTTCTCATTTTAAGTATCTAAGACTCATTATACATTTTAAGTTAATAATTTATCTTATACGTGCACTCTTACAAAGAGAAAAACAGACAATTATACATGGTCAAGATGTGTTTTAGTACTCTTTTATACCTAGAGAGGTAATTGATAAAAAATAAAATTCTTCCATACAAATTTGTTTCCTTGACAACCATTAAAATATACATATTTATTTATAATCACACACATATTAAATAAAATCAGTGGATTTGCTGGCAATGTTTTTTAGACTAGCTAGTTTATATTATTTCCATGATTATGCACAGAAAAATGTTAAATATAACTAAAAAGGAACAAATGATTACTGTAACCTGTTTTTTTCAGCTTAGATTTCAGAGAAATGTACTTTTAAGCAGAAACACAAGTTAAGTAATAACTTAGTAGAAACCAAGCTAAGCTAAGAAAGACAGAAATCAGCCAGACTCATCCCTCCTTAACCAGCTCACCTATGTACCTTCAATTTGCTAGGCACTCTTTTAGGAATGGAGGCCATTCAAATGTGACAGGTTACTGCTCCTTCCTTCAAATAGCTGAGAGCCTTCTGGAGGTAAGTTAGATAAATATATATAGTAGTAAGTATAATGCAGATAGAGAAGCTAATTAGCATATGAGTAAGTTGCTACTAGGAGAGCTGAACAAATCTTTAAGAAAATGGTGAGAATCAGATAATGCAAGACAGTTGATAATGGTTATAAGGATAAAAGGGTATAAGGATATAAGAATAGTAAGTTAAAAAGAAGCAAGTAGCTTAGAACAGTGTGTCCAGGAACTTAAAAGAATAAGCTGGAAAGGAGATAGGACATTTTAAAAAAAGTTGGAAATGTTTTTCATTATGCTCACATTTGAAGCATTTTCCTAATATGCAATCTTTTTTTTTTTTTTTGCCAGTCCTTGGGCTTGACCTCAGGGCCTGGGCACTGTCCCTGAGCTTCTTTTGCTCAAGGCTAGGACTCTACCACTTGAGCCACAGTGCCACTTCCAGCTTTTTCTATTTATGTGGTACTGAAGAATCAAACCCATGGCTTCATGCATGCTAGGCAAGCACTCTACCACTAAGCTACATCCTCAGCCCATTATGCAATATCTTTATTGATCCCATGTATATTTATATTGCCTTCTCTGAAACTATGAAACAGGAAGAGACAAAGGAAATTTAGAACAGAACAAAAGAATCCTTACTAGTATGTGGGAGAAAAGGATTCCAAGTGCTTTATTTAGATAACCTAATCATTTCATAGGTTTTTGGAAATTTCTTTTGCAAGGCTCTCTCTGTTAGTATGAAAGATATATCTTAGCATCACCTCCAACATAATTGTTGGCATAAAGTTTGCTATGTGCTACTTTCAAACTTTTAAATGACTTATTTTTCCTCATGTTTAAAAAAGACAGATTTGTAATAAAATAAAAAGTATCAGAAAAGCAAAAATTTTAAAGTCTATTTTTTTCTTTACAGTGATCAAATTGCAATGCACGAAACACATTTATCTTGGGTCACAGTATAAGAGAGTTGCTAACTTAATGGTTGTGTTCCTTTTACATACATTAGCAGTCAATCTGATTTTAAACCATAATGGTATTTCACAAGATTTTAGGATCTTTTGGATGGATTGGTTTATGTCTTGACTTCCTCAGTCAATTTTTTCAAATGTTTAAATCATGCATTTTACTGAATAAAATCATTCTTGCTACTGACTTCATTCACTTTTTTTAACCACTGAAGGTAATAGTTTCAATGTTTGTATCTTATTTTTCTTTACATGTTGAATGTGTGCTTAGATGCAAACATCTTACCTTAAAGGTTTGTACTCATCTGTATGCACATATACTTGTCATTATAAAACTCTTATTTACTTCACAAAATAATGTAAACTTACATAAAAGAACAACTATAATTAGACCATGAACAGACATAATAAATTAATAGGAGAACCAAGTAAAGACAAATGAGAAGAAAAATATTTCAAAACCACCACAACTGAGTATATAAACAGAAAAACAGAGAAGCAAATCTAACTTAAAATCCAAAGCAATTTCTCATCAAATATCTCTTTTATTCAACATGTCAATTTAACATCATTAGGGAAATCAATATGAACAAAGTGATAGGGCTTCAGATGATCTGTTAAACTCTTTAGAAACTA